ATTCTTCCAGTACGGTCCCAAGCAAGCTTGGTTAATAAGAGATTTATTATACGACTGAAGTTCAAAGGGACACAAGTGTGGTATCATTCGGGACCATTCGGGACAGTGCCCGGTCCAATACTTAGAGAATATTGGACCGGCAATAGAGCATTTTGATTGGTTGATTTTAGTTATTGGCCCTCTGATTGCCCGAGTCGTGTAATAAGAAATATGTAATGCATCTCTCAGGTGACGAGACAGTCAGAGAATACACCTGAAAATGCCAGGCCCTATGCCAACCTCGTTCCCAGGGTCTCGAGGGAGTGGGAAGAAGAGAGATCCTGGGAACAAGGTTGGCCCTATGCTGGTTTCTGTTTTGCTCCTTCAGTCCTCATACAGTGTACCATAAAATGAGTGAAGATGAGTGCTTAGCTCACAGGTTTAGTTACAAGAGTTGGTTTGCACAAGCCCAAAAGTTGAACATTACAATTTAATTTTCAAAAGCATGGGTCAAAATCCGTGAGGATACGGGCAAAATTGTTATCTTTTACAAACCAGAGTATCCCGTCTTCACTTTTGAGAAGCTAAAATATGCATTGTAACCATCCACAATTGCTGTCACTTCATCTAACATGTCACCTACAATGTTAAAATTAGTGGCATTTGTTAATGGTGAGTATAAAACCACACCCTAATTCAGGGCTCCACACTAACGGTAGCCCATTAGCCACAGACTAGTAGAAATTCAGTTTTGGCTTGTGGTTTCCTGTTTCTACTTGCCAGTTTGGCTAGTAAACAAACTGACATTGTCGTATTATTTATGATGTCTCCAGCCACTTGGCTAGTAAGTTGAAAAGTTCAGGGTCGAGCCCTGCCCCAGTTGTAAAACACACCAGACCAAGTCCGTGTAAACTAGTAAATCACAATACATTTGGTTCATAGTGTTACAATTTGACACAAATAATATAATAATAATGACAATAATAAGTGGTTTATTAAGACCTCTTGCAGTATAAATACTGAATTACAGGTCTGGCCAGCAAAGAAAAATAAAGTAGTTACACAAAGTATATATTTATGGGAAAATTGATTGCATTAACAATTAACAGTATACATGGCAAAACTAGTCATGTGCATTGAATGTAGCATATTTGTTTGAGATTGATTGTAAATTACTAATTTTCAGGGCTTCAGTATATGATAGCTTAGGAAAAATAATATTAGGGGCACCCTTTTGCACTTCATTTTCCATGGCATCTGATAGATAAAGCAGCAAGTTTGAAAACACAATGCGTGCATATTCTCTTACAAGGTGTTGACTAGAATCATATCAGGAGTTGGTACACTGCAGTGCCTGAGCGACCTGAGCACGCGCAGTCTTCTGAGTTAGCTCTCTTCACCATAATGTGTGACATAACATGTTTTTCTATATACAGTTACAAAGAAAGTGGCCAAAACAGTGTTAAAATGACCACTCAGTGGCAACAAAGCAGCTATGGATATAAGGTAAGGAGACTTTATACATTACATTCCTCACTTTTAATATCCTTTTTAAGTTTTTCTTAATTTTTTGAATAATTTTTCACTTAGGCCATCTGTGCTCTAACCAAATCTGCTTTTTGTCACTAGTTTGGCATCGACAAGAGCTGTTCATTTTACATCAGATTACTTTTTTTCATAGCTGTACTCGACAACTACACAACAGTAGGCACATGCAGTGATCATAGAGACAAGACTGTCTTTTATTTCTCAATTCAGTTCATTACATCATGCAACCATTACATGTTCAAATACACTTTTTTGACAAGTACCTTTCGCAACTGTTATTATTTACGAAGATTGAAATGATTGAGCAGTATTTCCTTACAACCCCAAACTTCACTGCATATACAGTTCTTTGATATAAGAAATCCATGGCGAAAACAACAGATTACTTCTGGGATTAATACTTTGTTTAAGAACAGTGTTAGGTTAAACGGAAACTTCACTGCCCCATCTGAGATTGTAGTTGCATCACACAAGGTAAATAGCTAGCCTAAGTTTCGCTCCGACGAAGGGCTAACGCTCGAAACGTCAGCTTTTGTAATCATTACGGTGGCCAATTTACCATTTCAACTTTGTTGATATATCCAAATTATTTCGTTACTCCCACCGACGCAGCCCCAAACAGTTTCTTTCGAAACTATCAGCCTTTATTCTTAAGTTCCATTGAATTCATATTATACATTTCTGAACGTGACCATGAGTGCACCATGAGTGCATGAGTGTTCCGATAAAAAGGAAAAATTTCAAATTTGAAAACCTGGTGCGAAACTGAGGATAGAAATAGACCCGAAGAAAGAGAACACCTATGCTTGCTCCCACAGCCGGCTCCTGGTAGCTAAACATTTATTCACTTGATACACATGCATACTCACGAGTGACTTTCGTCTCTTGCAAACAAATAACATCAGCTTCGAGGGAATCCAAAATGACCTTCAACGATTTTTCACGTCTAGAAGCACGAATTCCGTTGATATTCCAAGTTAAGATCTTCATTTTTCATTTATTCTCTTTCAAGAACGTTTAATCAATGGTCGTTTGATAACTTTGGATAATCGCGCGCTAGGTCAGCTGTACCTTTGGTCAGCAGTAGGTAAGATCAGCATGAAATGATTGATATATTTCACACAAGATTTCCCATGGGATGACTGTTTATCGTGGGGGAGAGGTTGGACGGTTAAATTGCTGTAAAAGTTCTTATCAATTTTGAGGGAGTTCGAAAGTGACACAACGACTTCGATTCAACTTTTAATATAATGTCTTTATTTTTGACGAAAAACTTTACATATCCATACCAGAGACATTACTTAACAAAATTATCCATACACGTCTCACTTGGGCTTGTAATAATCCATAAATCGAAATTGGAAGTTTTGTCCTCAACCGATCGATGCCACAAAACATTTAAATTATTTCATTAATTCTTAAATATCGGAACGGTCTCGTGGAAAGCATCAAAATTATAATCTTGCAAACTAACTCATAATATAACTTAATATTAATTTAATATTTTAAATTATTAATGACGATAGCGATGATGAAAGTGGTGACGATGATGATAGTCGGTGAGAGGTAAGACGTTAGAATAGTATTAACCTTTAATAAATTGTAAGTGATAACGTAACCATATGATAATGACGGCGGGATTTTAAGGTTACGGGCTGAGTTCTAGGGTAGCTACTTCGGAACTCAACCTTATAATTTGTATCAAAAGTAAAAGCGAGAATACAATAGAACGCCACTGACTCGAACTCCTAAGGAAAACAACAACAAAAAATGGTTCGAGTTAGTTCGGGGGGGGGGGGGGTTCATGTTAACCGAGTTCGAGTTAGCGGGTCTCTACTTTAGTAAAAAAGAAAAGATAAATCGTTTACCCGAAAGCAGACATTGAATCTTTAATGAGCCTATAATGGAGGAAAACCACTTTTCACAGGAACCTTCGTCTTGCCCCCCTTTAAGTCCCTGAAGAAAGGTTCCACTGCGCAAACTTTGTATTTATAACCTTCATTGAAAAGGAACCTTTTTCCAGGGGACACTTTTTTTCGTTCGGAGGGCGTCCCCACAGAAGCCACTTCGTTATCGCTACGAGGGTGTCCCTATAGTAGAGGTTCCACTGCAGGTCAGTTAATTCTAGAAACAGTTAGAGTTCAAGATACTCAAAATAGGTGAACTCTATTGCCTTCTCTAACAACGACAGACTTTTCAACGAGACAACTACGGATAATTACAAACATTTATGGCTATAATGCGAACGTTAGAAGCCTTCAAAATTGTGAAGTTGAGAATTTTAGACTTTTTCAACTTTAATAATAAGAATTAAACCATTCTTTAGTCCACCTCGAGGGAAACAGCTTCACACGACACTCTTATTCCAAGGATGCGTTAAGACAACATCTGGCGAATCTTCGTCAAATGTGATCGGTGTAACTTGAAAATGACTGACAAGCTCTTGCATCGAACTGAAATTCATTTCATCGTCCATGGTTCCAAACTCTGTCACGAGAAGAGCACCGCTGGCCTTGTCGTACTTAAATGGAAGGTGTCTGAAAGAAGGTCCACCTTCTGGAGCGCGCACAGTCAAGGTAAACTCCTTGCTACTGGCTCCCTCACGCACAAGGAAGGTTCCTGGTTGTACCATAGAAGAAAGCATTTCTTCAGCCTCTAGTGTGGAGATCTTCTCGTAGAAATATGGCTCGTCACACACCTGGAAATAAATTTAAACATTGATTGGAACGCAGTGGATGCTGTTGACAATGTAGTTATTCAACCTGATAAAGAGAAAGCGTTTGTTGTTGTTGTTGTTGTACTCTTTCAAGAGACCACGACCACGAGATTCACTGCGGCTGATGACCTTAATTAAGGAATAGTGGATCCCTTAATTACATTGGAAAGGAAGCGCTAAGATTTTGAAATAGCGTTCTTATAAGGTATTTCCACAATGCGTTCCTATGCGGCCCAAAAGAGAAGTCAAGCAAGCATTGCAACAAAGTCGATCGATTATTGAGAAAGATCGATGTTCTTTTGTCTCGTCATGAGCGTGAAACAATGAAACAATTCTGAGCCCCCATGAGAATCAAATCAACCTCATTCCTTGGAATTACGCCCTCTGATGCTCTAACACTGAATTAAATGAATCATTAACGAATTATTAAAACTGACCAATCATTTTACACGAACTGGACTAAGAACACTCTACTGACAACAACTATACACTTGAGTCTGATGAAGACTTCCGCACAGGTTGTTGAAACGTCAGTCCCTACAACCGACAACAGTCCTTCTCAGGACTACACTCACCCGGACGATCACACTACACTTTCACGTAAATTGAATAGGAAAGATGTAAATTTCGAGCTTATCTCGTCACGCTCGATTTTCGGTAACATGAATACTAACCATGGCTATTTTTCTGCTTTTTGAATTGCCAAGATCGACTTCGACCATGAACTGTTGTTGCCCCTCTTCATCTGAATTATCGCAGATGTCGTCGTACGCGACATTAAGGTAATGTTTCTCTGAGCGGGAGATGTTTTTCACGGATCGATCACGGCTGAGAATGCACTCTTGGCTGTCTTTACGTGCCATTGCAGCTCTTTGTTGTAACGAGAAGTGGAAATTCTGTGGCTTTTTTCGTCTGAAGAGAAAATAGAATATCAGCTAATCTTAAAGAGAAACTAAAATTCGAAGAGGAAAGACGAGGATCCATATCCTAGATTAAGGACCTACAATTCAAAGTTAGAAAGAAATTTTATGACATCTCTCCCTTTGTGTTTGACGACAGGTTTGCAGAAAGGCTTTAAAGAACTGTCTGAAGTTGAAAGCAAAACGAGTCAACACGAGATCGTTGATCAGCTGTTAAATCATTTGGACACGAAATTTCAAGAAAATAAAATAATCAAACTTTTGATTGTTCACTGGAGCTAAGAACAATTGCCCATAACAGAAACAGCCTTAAATCGTATCTCAACGGAAATGTTGTTGAGAACGGCTTGATAAATTGACAAATCAATGATATGACAAAGTATTTGAACTTATCCATCCCCTACTCCCCCCCCCCTTCATTTCAAGAGGAGCAATTTTTTCCATGGCCCCGATAAAAAAGATGAGATATTACTTAATTACCTTTTCGTGATTATTAATCCAACAGCAATTACTGCAATAGTAAGGACCAGAAATCCGATGGTCAGACCCACGATTAAACCAACTTTAGAGGGAGGGTCAGCTGAAAAATAAAAAACAAATTTTGATATTAGTTAGTCCAACTGAATACCTTTTCAACATGAATTCCAGAATTTCGTTATTAAATTGCTCAAATCCAAGAATTGTCTTTCAAAATTCGGTCGTAATTTGCTTCCCAAGATGCACTAGAAACTGCGCTCAGCTATCAGAGGACAACCTCGTCCCAGGATTTTCTCGGTCGGATTAAAAAGGCGCGATCTGTTGCCATTTTCCAAAATCGACCGCTGAAACCATACAGAAGAGGTTTCATTAGAGGAAACACTTTTCAGTTATAATGCAGACGAAATGCTACTTTGATGAAACGCTTTTAATGTTGTACAACTCAGTAATCTGCATATTTACCTTTAGAGGGTTCCGTATAGCCTAAAATAATTGAAGAAATTCATTCGATTAGTAATCATAAACATGAAAACTTAACCTTCAAGATTACGTTATAATTTGATGAGAAATTTGTGCGAAAAACTCTCGAAGTGGGTAGATTTCACAGGGTAATTGCTTTTGGACAATCTTTAGACTTAAGCACCAGTAAAAATTACTTTCTAAAACATGACGTTAACATAGATTATCATTTGCTTAAGGGTAAGCAGATTCTACCTGCTCAGCGGAAGCTGAAACCCAAAATTAACTCGTAAGCTGGAGTCTGCAGCGTTTCAAAACTCTACAGCTACGGAACAAATGCATTCACTTAGCTCAGGATGAACAGAGTAATGATACTCACTAGCTGTAGCACTTTTAACTTTGAAACCATTTTGCTCCAACTCTTCCATTCTTCCGCTGTTGATCATATCGATCACTTCTGCGGAGTTTAGGTCGTTACCAGACTCGTCGCGGGCAAAGAGCTCCAGCTTGACCCTATAGAAAGGAAACGGGTCGTGAAGGGGTCAATATTTTCATTTTGGTTTTTCTATCGTTATTTTTGTTGCTGTTCAAAACAGTATAGTGCTCATTCTATCGTTCAAAATACACACTGAAGCGCAACTTTTGTGGCGGATAGTAAGTAAGGGTATGGCCAAAAATAAGTGTCTTAGGGTGAATGTGAATTTAAACATCCCACACTAAACAACAACCAAACAAACAAACAACAAAACATTTAAACAAAACAACAAACAAAAAATAACAACAAAACAAAAAAAACAAAACAAAACGATCAATCAAAAAAAAAAAAAAACTATAACAAACAAAATTTGCTTATTTCAGCCCCTCTCTTAAAAGAGCTTACGCTAAAGATTAACAGCTTCTCAAAATTCGTTACTGATTCACTCGGTGTCCGCCGACGCAACATAATTTCTTAATTCTAAAACTGCTGGATTATCTATTGAGATTGAGAAGAGAATTTACACGATAACCATTTCTTGGAGCTAGAGGTTAACAAACGCGCAAAATATGATATAATTGTTCTATTTCAGAACAATAGCGTTGTAAAATTGTTGATTGAATGAATGCGACTTACTCCATTGGCTCCATAGGAGGGGTGGTTGTCGGTGGAACCGGTGTCTCCATCGAATCACTCCCGCCACAAGATGTCGAACGACCAGCATCAAATAACAAACCACAAACAAACCGCTGAGCGCTTTGCGGCTCAGGAGGCTTCATTTCTGGTGGACACAGTAGCACAAAATGAACCTTGCCCTCCTGGTATTTTGTGACACGGACAGAACATGCGCCATAATCCAATTTAACATCAGCCCTACGGACTCGCCTTGCGTTCACACTCTTTTATAGACAAACAAAGAAATGGGTGGAAATGAATAAATGAATTAGGATTGAAAATACACTAGGAAATTTTCTGTGAACTTAATGACCTGCGGACGATAAGAAATTGCAGGAAGACTCAGTTTTTGGATTCAAAGGCGTCCCAGCCCATGAAGCCATGAAGCTATTTGCGACGTGCAAGACAAATGTTATAAAAATTACTTGTTTTCTGTTACAAAATGTGATCAAAATGGCATAGGAAACCAGTAATAATATTTTACTCGAAGAAAATACAATGAGAAATTCATCACGAACTTCTTATTTTTTTTTTATTTATTTCTTCTTCTTCTTCTTCTTCTTCTTCTTTTTTTTTTCACTTTTCACTTTATTGCAATTAACCACGGGCTATCATGAGTAATCTAATGACGTATTGGTTTTTAGCTTCGATCTGTGACGTGTCTGGAAAACTTGCTCTATCTTCTCAGTGCCAATAAAGACTAGAATTAATCCCAATTGAGACCTAGCCAATGGCGTTTGCTCGTGCTTCAAGCAGTTTGCTTGTTTTTTACTTTGAGCTCTAATTGGTTTCCTGCAAAAGTTTCCTTTCATCTTATTGGTCGTTGCGATTGCTTTGGTTTTGCTGTTACGTCACTCATCGAAATACAATCCAACTCACCTCATTCACGTTGTTCGGTGCGGACCTGATAATATTCTCAACTTGTTTTTCGATATCAAACAGACTTCCTTGTTGGCCCCCAGATAACACCATAACCATCTCCAGCCCCTCGTCAACGCACTGATATCCATTAGGAGCGCGCTCAGACAAGGCACAGATCTTCGAGCCTTTACACGGATTACCATCACACGCCTTCTTTTCCAATTGACAGTTTTTGCCTGTCTTTGCCGATGCACAGTTACATTTGTATGAGCCTGCTGTATTGGCGCATGTACCATTATAGAAGCAAGGATCTACACGAGATAGACACAATTTCATTCAGCATTCTACTTAATGCATAGCTTTTCAAAAGTCCGCCAATTGTAAATGAAACTACGTCGGGCTTTTCGCATCTCGAAACTTCAAGTGCTTACTTGAACCCTTAAAACCCTAACATCAGAATGCATAAACTCCATACTGCTCTCTATACATTCTCTGTGGTATTGACGAGGAGATTTTATCAGACAATCAAGAGCTTCTTGCGCGGGTGTTCATTTCCTCACGACCTTGAGAGATCATACTGTATTTCGTCTTACATCGATGAGTTTGCTTCATCGAAAGCATTGGAATAGCCTGCGAAGCAAGCCCTGGGGGAGAGGAGGGGGATTGGGGCGAGCGGAAGGTGCTACATTGGAACGACAAGCCCTTAAATCCCAGAATTCAACTTAAGTAACAGATTACGACTACCAAATTCACCATGCCCACAACAAGAGTTCATTTACTGGTTTCGAAGCTTACCTCCACTGCATTCATCAACATCCAGTTCACAATGGTCCCCAGACCATCCCGGTCTACATAAACAGGCATACTGAAGGCCTTGTTTGGAGCAGACGGCGCCATTTTTACACGGGTTTGAATTGCATGGATGTTCCTCACACCGGTCGGGCGCTGAAAAGCCAACTACGTCCACGTTGGCCTGCAAAGCCTTGCTGAGAAGTTGCTGAAAATAAAAAGCGGAGAGAAACAAAGTTAAATAAGAGACAAAAGAATCCTGAGATATCTAGACTCAAGCTGCAGGTTAATCACACTGTTTTACTGTTAATAATAATAAAAATAATAATAATAATAATAATAATACTAATAATAGTTTAATATTTGTAGTGCGCAAATTCCATTTATATATGATCAAATGCGCATAACAATTATAGAATATAAAAGTTGCATCAGATAATAAATTACAGTAAGACCCTTATCAAACTTACAAAACTAATAAAAACCTTATCTAAATTGTAAAAAAAAAAACAACTAAACCATGCATATTTCAATCCTAATTAAAGGCTAAATTAAAAAGGTGAGTCTTTAGTAAAATTTTAAATTTACTAAAATCAGTCTCGTTACGCACTTTATAAGGAAGACTGTTCGAAAGTTTAGGTGCTACACACATATTTTCATACGGAGCTTACTTGAAACGCGTTCTTGTCAAACATCTGGCAGGTTCCTTCTTGGTTCGGATTTGTCACTGAGAGTGTCATAGAGACAAGTGCATTTTTACCTGCAAATAGATCAAGAATGCCATAAAGCTACCTTTCAGAAAAAACTTATGCTTCGTATCGCACCCTTATTTCATTACGTTTTCTATAACCTGAAGCTAAACGACTAAAAGTGTCGGAAATTCTCCTGGATGAGACGATATTCCATCTCAGCTCACCTCTCCTTCCTTAGCATATTGATAGATTTCCCTGAAAATGCGCTCTCAACCATTTACAATCTTCGCTTTTGGCTAAGGCAGGCACAGTTACACAAACAAAGAAAATATTTTTACTCCAGCTACTCACCAAACACCTTGAGCGTTGCCCAGCCAGACCTCACTTTGACAGCCACGTTGCTAGCTTGACAAAAATACCGCGCCTCGTCTTGTGCAAGTGCATCCTTCAACACGAGTTCCGGTTTGAATGGATCAATATCACTGGTTTCTACCATTGGGATACTGTCCTTGTACCATTGAAATTCGGGCAGAGGATCTCCAGTGGCATTACAAGCCAGTGTCACCGTACCACCCAGCTCTACACTGCTGTTTTGGGGGTGTACCACGATCTTTGGAGGTTCTTTTGATTACAGTGAAAATAATTAAATGAGATAGTATAGTCCGTTTACGCATTGCGGACCTACTTTATTGTAGCTTTCTTTTGAATTCTTTCTTCTGGAATTCCTTCCCCATTGTTCCTAACTTGACAAATAGGATCATTGTTTGATCTCTTTACTCTGATTATGGTGCGATGGCCAGAGTACAAGATCATCTGATGGTTGATTAACTAGCTGACTGACTGACTGACTGACTGACTGACTGGCTGGCTGGTCGGCCGGCTGAACCAACCGAACGACAGACGACCGACTGACTGGCTAACCGACTAACTTACTGGCTGAGTAAGTGACGGGCCAGCCGACCGACTGACTGACTGACTGACTGGCCGGCCGGCTGACCAACCGAACGACAGACGACCGACTGACTGGCTAACCGACTAACTTACTGGCTGAGTGAGTGACGGGCCAGCCGACCGACTGACTGCCTGACTGAGCTCATGACCGACCGTCTGAATGAGCAAATTTAACTCACCATTCACTGTTATGTAAGCACTACCTCACTGACTGACTCACTGATTGAAAATTATATAAGAAAAACCATGTTACCATTTACTGTCATATAAGCCACACAAGACTGTATCAAGCCGGCTGAACTCGTGGCTAGGCAAGAATAGCTGCCTTCGTCTTCCTCGGTCATATGTTCAATGATGTAATCGCCAAGATCATCCCAGTTTGACACAAAGCGGCCGTCCTTCATCCAGCGGTACTGGGGACGAGTGTTACCCTTTGCTAAGCAGCTCATCTATAGAAACAGTTGCACGACAAATATTAAAACAAGCGCTCGATGTGTTGAAATTCTCATCGTCTCTCTAAGAAATTTACTTCTGTGGTAGTCTGTCGGGTTTTCAAACCTTAACCCACCTCTACTGACCATGTTTTCATCCTTATATCTAAAACTGCTAGTAAGTATTTTCAAGATAACTAAAATCGTCCAAAAATATCAAATGATAAAACCACTTAAAAACAACAAGACTGAGTATGTAAATATTTTTACTTGATGTTTATCGCCCACGAGACGAGTTGCTGCTGTTGGAATCTTTACAAAATTACACAAAGTGTCTGCCTGTATAACACCATCCTCAGTGACTTTAAAGACCATAGCTTGACAAGCGATCCTGTGAGAGAAGACAAGTAAGGGTAAGGCAAGGTCAGCGTACGAGCTATAAGAGAAATTCTGCTGGAACCTATACCGGGAAAGCCAAGAATACTAGCTTCAGTTGCTAGTAGAACAATAATTGAAAAAAAGATTAGGACAACCTATTGTACCTTGATGTAACAAAGACATCGATAGACTTGTTGAGACTCGGGGTACCCATATCATACGCTTGTACTGTCACTTTCCAATTTCTCTCAACCTACAACGGGAGTAGAAAGGTTTTGTTACTTAAGTTACCTTGTCAAGTAAATATTAAGACTGATAACAAGATAGCAATTTGTGTGAAAATTCCAATGGAATCTAATGAGGTTCTGCTATTTCGGTCAATTTCCCTGGCAGTAAATATGATTACCCGTAGATCTAATAGTAGTAGTAGTATTAGCAGGATGCCTCTTACTCGGTTACAAGAGGTTGAGTGGATCGCATGTGTACTTTTGTTTACAACGTGTTTACCAATTCTTTCCTCCAAAGGGAAGATCTAAGTGCTAAATATTTTTACTCCTTTGGCCATGCGTTTCTTTGTAATATAGCTTCGAGATACTCGAACTCACCTCGATCTGTTGAAGAAGTCGGAATTTTACGACTCCACCCAAATCAAGATCGTCATCAATCGCCTGAATTCGGCCAATATTAGTATCATTGGGGCTGCTAAGGGGGAATTCATAGTTGGGGCGGGTAAAGCGAGGGGCGTTGTCATTTTGATCGATTACAGTAAGGTTCACGATGGCCATAGCAGCTAATCTGTCGTCTGGTCCTCCTTCAGCTGATGGAAATCAAAGAAAAATTAATATCAATCAGAGGTTGCCCTTGTACTGTGCTTCTACAGTTTGGCTGTGAAATTGTAAATTTTTAACTGTTAATCCTTGCATCAGTAATGTTTTCAGTCAAATTTATTTTAGTTGTCATTTTACCATCATGAAGGATCTGTTCGTTATCAATGATGGTGATACGACTAATTGAAGAGTTGACCGGAGTCTAAAGTCGTACGAGTGACTCGCAAAATCGGGCGACAGCGAAGCGAAACTTTATTTGTTTGCGTGTTTGTTTGTTTTTATTTCCGCGTTCAATAACAGACCTTATCATATAAGGGGCAAAATTACTGAACTGTGATTGGTCAAGACAGAGGGCATTTTTTCTTAATTTTTGTAATTGCCCCGGGCAAAATTACCTGAAAATGATTGGCTGAAAATCGCTTAGCAACGGCTGCCAAGGTAAAGAAATTTCTGTTTGTTTTGTAACAATGGCGTCCCGTTTTGCGCGAGATCAGTAAGAAAACATTTTGCCCATTATATTATAAACAAGTAATCACATGGTTCCTCGTAAAATTAAGGATTAATATCACTTGTGTTCTCGGAAGTTGCAGAAATTGCCCTCGTCGCTGCACGACTCGGGTAATTTCAGCAATTTGCGAAAACAAGCGTGATATGAATCCTTAATTTTACTCGGCCCCATGCGATTACCTATACAAATTGGACCATACAACGTTTTGTTATAAATTCACAAAACTAGGACAGAATTCAGAAAACAAAACTAATATCGGTTGAAGCTTGGTATTCAGAAATAAAAATAACAGCTGCAAAATGTCACATGACTCTGGTGCATCTTTGACCCAACTTCAATAAGGTTTTCATTTGCATTAGTGTATTTCTTACCCGTGTTTCCATCGCCGGTACTGTTGATACCACAGTCGGCACGGCCTGCCCGGACCACCAATTGGAAAGACGACGTAACCTCTCGGTCAACTCCGGCGGAGCTAACTCTTACGAAGCCTGAGACAGAGAAAATATCATTTTCAAGGTAATTTGGGCGGTAAATATATGATCAACAACATGTCAGTATTTCTAACCATCATCACTGCATGATGCTTGTTAAGCAGAGGAAGTATGCCTCCAATATTTGCTATTTTCGAAGTGCACAGCTAAATTATGGGTGTGACACTTAAATTTTCACGCACTTTCAAACTTTCGGCGATTCTTAAATCGGCAATTCATAGTTTTTAAATTTCATCTATCACAATACTACGATGAAGAGCGAGATCCAAGGAAACTTCTTTAACAGTGAGTTGCATCCAATTTATCTTACAAAGTCTCCCCTAAATCAAACACCAAATAAAGAAGCTCTTGATTGTTAAACAAATTCTCCTTGTCAGCACTTTAGAAAATAATGAAGAACAATATGGAGAATGTGCATATTGAGTCATTGAGTCAAGGAGTGAAAGGTTGGCCTACACAGATCTTGAAATGTTCATACTTTATAAGAAATTATCTTACCATATCTATCAATTGTAAAAGCCCCGCCTTCATTTCCTTGCCAAATTGCATACAACATCTTTTCATTATCCTTGACATCTGCATCAGTCGCCGTCACTTGAACAATACTCTGATTGAATGGCAAATTCTCACTAATTGTCGCATTATACACCGCGGGCACAAACTTCGGGCAGTTGTCATCCACATCAGTGACGGTGATGGTGACGTCAGCGGATGAGGATAACCGCGGGTCACCATGATCGCTGACACTAATTTTCAATTTGTAAAGATCTTGCTTTTCGCGATCGAGTGATTTCAACGCAGTAATTTCCCCGCTTGCAGGGTCGATGGCAAAAATATCCACATAAACATTTGTAGAGAAGTTAAACATTAGTTGTGCGTTCTCTCCGACGTCAGCATCTGTAGCAATAACGCGCATGACGGAGGTTCCGATGGGAGAGTTCTCCAAGATGGCACCTTGAAGAGAAGAAGCATTGAACAGCGGTGCGTTATCGTTTACATCAGTCACTGTGATCAGCAGTTGTACAGAGGAGCTCTTTAGCGGATGACCGGAATCACTTGCTGTGATAATTAACGTGTAGAAATCTTGCGTCTCCCGATCAAGTTTTCCAGAAACTGTCACGACACCTTAAACAAAGACCAAACATTGAAGTCACGTGTAAAAAAAAATTATCTCCAACTAAAAATGCCCTTGATTATTAAACAAATTCTCCTTGTCAGCACCTTAGAAAATGTATGGAGAACAGTATGAAGAATATGCATACAGATTTTAGGGCACAAAAGGCTTTAGGTTCATCATTATAAGACGCACACGGGGAGCATTAAGTAGCAATATCAAGCGTCGTGATATTGCCTACGTTCTGTTTCCGGCCAGCTGTCATCATATCATTAGTACCCAAGCCACCGCACACAAAACGTGTGTGTGTTTATACAATATACGCCTCCTGTTTTTGATCGAAAACTGTTTTGTCAAAGTTGATGAATTATCAAATGCGCTTCAATATTATCTACCTCAAGCCTTCCTTATTGCCTCGTGGTCTTTTAAAGCGCTTTTTGTGTTATATTTCCAAACGAACTTTAATCTTAAGCTTTCTTGAAACAGTGGGTACTTTTGTATGTTCCGTGACATGACTTGAATTGTCACGGGGTAACGCTATAAATTTGCTCTTCCTGCTCTAAGATGAGTGCATTCATTTTTGTGGTTTTTTTTTCTCTTTGATGTGGCTTCTCATGAATATGTTTTCATACCCTCTGTTATTTGCAATAATTTAATAAGCCGGTTCTACGTTACCGATTGAAACAATAAGAGAAAAACCTGCAAAACTTTAGAAAAACTTCGCTAGACTTGCTCGTTCGTTTTTCGAGGCTGAAAGCTGTTAATAAAATAATAAGAACGTCTCCTAAATTTTACCTTTTGAGTCCCCACGAAATCAATAAATTGCACTTACCAGTTCCATTACCAATATCAAAAGTACCATCGTCATTTCCATCCGTGATCTGGTAACTAACGAGTCCGTTGAGCCCGGCGTCCTTATCCACAGCGTGTATCTCCTCTACTACAGTCCCGGATGAAACATCTTCGGTCACATTGACTATGTACACGGATTGATCAAATTTGGGTGCGTTGTCATTCACATCTGATAGAGTCACGTGAACGATTATTGACATGGAATGCAGTGGCTTGTTTCCATGATCGGTAGCTCGACAGATGAGAGCGTAGTTTGAAATGTTTTCTCTGTCGAGTTCCATATTTGTTGTTATAATACCAGTATCTGAGAAAATGGCAAAAGCTGACATTTCATTTCCTGAGATTATGCGGTAAGATATTTCAGCATTGCTTCCAGTGTCTAAGTCACTGGCGGTAATTTTTGTAACATAGGAAGAAACCGCTGATGCTTCGGAGATAACTGCTGTCATGGAAGTGTTCTTGAATACAGGTGGATTGTCATTTGTATCAGTGACATTAACCATAACTGTGGTAGAACCATGAAGAGATGGTTTTCCTCCGTCCGTTGCCTTAACAATGACGACATAGCTGTCAGTCATTTCTCGGTCCAGCACGTCAGCGGTTGAGATCAGCCCAGAGGTCAAATCTATACTAAACGCGTCACTATGGTTACCGGGTTGAACAGATTCGATGGAGTAAGTGAGCTGACCAAATGGATCGACGTCAAAAGCAGTGATTGTCACCACCGAGGTCACCACAGCAGAATTTTCTGCGACGCTTACGTAGTACGTCGGCTGAGGGAACGAAGGATTATTGTCATTTTCATTAATGACTTTAATAATCACGCTAACAATGGACGTGAACTTGGAATCCGATGCAGACACGGTCAAGTTAAATACCGGTGTCTTTTCAAAGTCCAGCTGTGCAGTGGTGTTGATGATGCCAGTCCGAATATCTATGGAAAAAAAGGATTGGGAATTGCCCCCGGTGATTCTGTAGGTGATGTCTGCATTGGATCCCACATCTGCATCCGTTGCTTTCACCTGAACGACATCGGCAACTACAGCAACATTCTCTTTGACAGTACCTACATAGAGACATGGAAAGGATATTTTTCCTCATAAAACACACACACACACACACACAAAAAAAAAAAAACAAAAAAAACAAAAAAAAAACCATGTGCCTAGGTACAGGTATTTACTGCGCTTGAGAAACGATCATCATTTATCACCTGCGGGAAGGGAGGGGGGGGGTTCGAGGGATTTTAGTTGTGTCACGGTAAATTTTACCTGTTACCCTATCAGACTTTGAAATATTCTTAAGACCCTCCCTCCCCCCTCCATTCATTTACAGTTAATTAGCTGTCAATTTTCTATGGTCCCTTCATTAAATTCTGTTGGCGACGACTCACCCCACCTCTCCGTTCCCAATTAAAAAATATTTGTTCCCCCCCTTACAACCCGCCAGGCAGTGCGTTATAAATGGTCCCTTAACTGAACTATTAACCTTTGGTGCAGTGTTCAAACAGTGTTCAAAGGAAACAGCTTTACAAACCTTGAAAAACGTTTGCGTCGAATTTAGGTGGGTTGTCATTCTGGTCTTCGACTGTAACATAGAAATTTTGTGCAGTTTTCATGGACGTTTTTCCCTGATCAGACGCGATTATAGTTAGGACATATCTATCAGTTTTCTCTCGGTCGATTCTTCCATTAACCTTTATTTGACCAGAAACGGGATCTATACGGAAAGCATCATCACCGTTGCCTTTAACCATTGAAAACCTGATTTCACCATTACTCCCAGCATCGGCATCTGTTGCGGAAACAGATCCTACGTTGGCACCAATCTGCACATTTTCTATAACTGTAAAATTCTCCACATTTACAAACGCTGGGCTGTTGTCATTCTTGTCCATTACGGTGAAATTGACGCGAACAAAGTTACTTCTGGGGTTTGGAGCATTGTCAGAAGCACTGATATATAAGCTGTAGAAGGCAACAGCCTCTCTGTCCAAATTTTGATTGACAGATAAAAAGCCAGTTGAATTGTCTATCTTAAATGCGTCATTGGTATTCCCAGAAACAATGGAAAATGTCACCAGACCGTTGCGGCCATCGTCAAGGTCTGTGGCCACCAGGTGCAAAACGTTTGTTGTAATGGCGGTGTTTTCGAGTACAGACGCTTGGTAGAAAGGTTTCGAGAATTCCGGCGAGTTGTCGTTATCATCGAGGACGGTCACGAACACAGTGGTGGTGGACGAAAGAGAAGGTTTTCCCTGATCTTTGGCCGTGATGACCAATCGATACGAGGACGCTACTTCACGGTCTAGCCTATCAGATGTTGTTAAAACTCCAGTTGTAGAATCGATTTTGAACTTATTGCTGGCGCCAGAAGTTATCTCGTAGCTGATAACAGCATTGTCACCTATATCTTTATCCGTTGCCTTAATGTTAGCAACCAGCTGACCTGATGGACACAGAAAGAGAAAAATAAATGTGATTTAAATCTTACGATATCCGTCATCTCTCCTTCTCTCCGTGCAACAAGTAGTTTATTGAAAATGTAGGCTTAAGAATACAGCGGTAAAACGTCAGGCATGCGCCGAGGGGGGATAGATTTTGGTGAGCTGCGCACCCATTTCCAGCGCAAAATTTCAAAGGAAGATTTTAAACGCCTACATGCAAAACATTCTTGCAGCTCCCATTGCGTGCCTACATTTGACGTAAACATCCGAAAAATCGACCTTGTGTTTGTCGAAAGAGAACTAGTCGTGTTTGTACCGCATGTTTTGCTGCCTAAAATTGTTGTTGTTGTTGGTCGCTCTAGACTCGAAACAATCCGTAGGTTTTATTGTATTTCACATACATTGTAATTTCACTCGCTAAGGTGTAATTAATGTTCGTCGAAAACCTGCCTTGCTATCAAATTTGGATATTTACTTGGTTCGATTATGAAAACATTTGTGGATTATCATTGGAATCCCTGTAAATAAACGGTTTGAGTATTCGCTTTCGAGTGTATTTCGAGGAAAAGTAATGCGTTCTCTATACGAAAGATAAATATGAGAAATTTCCTACCTGGTGCTAAGTTCTCCATGATACCTTTGGAATAGTTGGGGCTGGTGAATTTGGGTGCGTTGTCATTTACATCTACCACTTCAATTGTTGCATTATTTGTCACGGACTTTCCGCTTGCATCCATCGCACGCACGGCCAAATGGTACTTCGCAAATGTTTCGCGATCAAGCTTTGACGCTACTGTTATCAGTCCAGAGATATTCTGTATAGCAAAAGCACCACCCACATTTCCGTCTATTATGTGAAACGTTAAATCGTTTCCGTCGGCGTCCGTAGCGTTCAAGCGCACAACTCGCGTTCCTATGGCAACATCTTCGCGCACCTTCGTCGGTGCTGAAGACGTCTCAAACACAGGAACGTTGTCGTCCACGTTGACGATAGTGATGTTAACTTTCGCAGACGCTGTTTGCGTAGGAGATCCACCATCCTTTGCGATGACAGTCAGGATATAAGAGCTCGTCTTCTCGTAATCCAAAGGTGTGGAAGTATGAATGAAGCCACGTGAATCAATGCTGAAATTTTTACTTCCTTCTCCTTGCAAATTGAATTGTAGTTGACCGTTTGACCCTTCATCCTTGTCTTTTGCTTCAACCTGTGAAGTGAATGCTGAAGGCTAAGTAAAATTTCTTCGATCAGCAAGATAGCATGTTGGAAGCCTCACCTCGTGGTTTTTTCAAGCGCACAATTGCGTTGTACTAAGCTCTGAAGGAGTTCCTTCACACCCTTAGTAACGCACAGTGACATGCACTTTCCGCTTTTGTAGTCACAAAAGATTAAATGCGATTCAATATTGTGACCTCCGTTTTTAAATTTCGCCTAGATTTATCTTCAGATACTTCGTGTGCAATCCATCTTCAGCTTCATCATTGGTATTCATGCGAGTTTATTTTCTAGTTTGATCTTTCTTTTGAAGTATTGTTGTTAAAATCTCGGGGCAGGGGGCATGAGGTTAAACAAATTCTCCTTGTCA